AGAATCAAGATTTTTATTTGCCATTTATGCATAAACAGATAGTTTAGACATATAGGAGTTCTTGTGCAGGGATCTCCTGGAGTTAAGTAAAGAGTTTAAAGCCAAGACAACAAACACCTAGTCTAAATATAAGACTACCCAAGAATACAAAATACAAAAAACAAGAATACAAAATAGTTGATAAAATTGTGGATACAGGAATAAGATAGCAGGTAAAATGGGGAGTTTCAAATATTGCACATGGCATTGCACACAGTGTAATTGTATATGGTCTTCTACTTAGTAGGGTAATGAGGGGTTTTTGCACAGGTTTTTCACATTTTGTATTTGCCATCAGTCTTAGTGCGGCAGGGTAAAAGCTGTTGTAAAATCTTGTTCTGTGTGTGACGATACTGTCTGCTCTGCTGTGCCTGAGGTTGTGGGTGCAGTTTTGTGTCTGAGCAGAGTGTGATGAGTCGTTGTGTTCAGCGTGATGGAGTGTAACATCTCAGACAGCCTCTGTAGTCTTATTTAGCCACTTGTTAGCAACCGCCTTTTTTAAGACACGTAAAAGCATTAAAAATCACGAGTGGGGTATTTATTGACGTATAGAACAAAACATGAAGATGTATTGTTGTATCTTGTGTTAACCACAGATCTTACTTCAAGTGTCTAACCAAAAACCCATTCAAAAGTGGTCAGGGCACGGGAACTGAAAGTGACAAAATGTTAAATCAGTTCCGGATTTTAGGACTCACTACGAAGGCACTCTTTACCACAGCTGTAGTTATCACTCATCTTCTTACTATACCAGGACTAAACCGTGGTGCTCATTGGCTCCACAGACCAAAGATATACTGTCAGCTAGGCTACAGTGAATTGCATTTCTATCTACTGTGGTTGTAAGTGGAAGAAATGAGCAAGTCTTTTTTGACCAGCTCAGTAATCTCTCAATATATTTAAATTAAATGTTTATTCTGTCATTTGTAATGTCAAAACTTTATTCACTGAACTGACTTACAAACCCAATAAATACATTTTTATCCTTCTGATTTTGCACATCTAATTTCACTTGTATTAATTCATTCACTTATTTTATATTTGCATTTTTCTTAAGTCAAAGCTTCAAATTAATTATTTTTGTATAGTGTGACTGATGTGCCATACTCATGTTAGCAGGTAGCTGAGTGGCAACTGAAAAAAGTGTTTTTGGAGCCTGGATGACATCAGATACCATGACTAATCAATAGGTTTTCTC